TGCTCTGTTCATAGTTGCTCTCATTATATCAAAGAAGACATTTGGTATTTGTTTTTTAGGGATTGACTAGCTTCACTAAGCATAATCTGCTCTGGAATGTATCTTAATGATAGAGTGATAGAGCGTAGAGAGCCTCTGGGTTCAATGCTCAGTACCGAACACACACACACACACACACACACACACACACGTGAACTATAGTGTGTTTACTATAATCCTTCTCATCTTTCCTAATTTATTTTAATTAACAATAAAATGATTTAAACTATCACATACAGCCATTTTAATACCACTATGAGGAAACATGTCTTATTTATATGTGGTACTTAAGGATACATCACTCTATTGCAAAATATTTAACTGAGATTAGGAAGCACAACTCTTTCCTAAGTTGTCTAGCAATTCTTTTATTAAAAAGAAATTGGAGAAGATTAACATTAATAATAAGAGTATAGGCTCACAGGAATATTAATTTGTTCCAATGAGCAACTGCAAGAGCTTGGAAGAGGGACTTGAGCTACAGAAAGAATTACAACCTGCCCAACATATCAGTTGTAACCTTGTGAGACACTAAGTGAAGGACCCAGGTAAACCATTCCCAGACTTCGGACCCATGGAAACTGTGAGATAATAAATGCTGTTGTTTTAAGTTGCTCAATTTGTGGTAATTTTATAACAAAACAATAGAAAAACAATACATTATCCAAGAAAAAGAAAATCATGGTTTCATCTATGGATGAAACCAAGGTCTCAGATGAGACATCATGGACATGATTTACCAGTTGACATGGACATAGCTGGTATTCTGTACCTATGGCAATTGCTGAAATTCTGCCCCTCTCTGCTCTAGGGAGAAGTGCTTTGAAGTTGGTTGAAGGCAGTGAATCACCTTCACCTGCTCCACTCCCCATCATCATCTGAGTGTGTGCCTGAACAAGGTGTTGGTTCTGGGTCCTCTTGCACTCTGTATGATACAGGACCTGAACAATGGAGGAGCTACTGATTGCAGGAGCCAGATGCTGAGGACATCACATGCTGCAGGAGCCTGTTGTGAAAAGTGTGCAAGCACAGTGAGACAAAAATACCTTCCTTTTCAGTGTCACATAGAGTACTCTAATTAATATTGCACCATCCATCCAAGAAGAAATATCTAGAAGACATATCTTCATTTTTGCAAAGAAGCAATAAAGGTTTAATAAAAACCTGAGAGAAAGTGTATTGATAAGTGGTACAGCAACTCATTTCACAGAAATGAAAATTAAAGCCATAGTGTTTAAAGCATTTGTGAAGATTAATAATAGGACCAAGACAAATAAAATTACTTCAATGCTATGCCAAAGTCATTTCCAATAAATCATACCACCACATATAATGCTGAGAGTAGTTTTTATCAAAATCACTTAATTTGACCATTTTTATTTCTTTATCAAAGAACTTGTCCAACACATATCCTCTGGAGAATATGAATTTTAAGACATTTCAATAGACTTTTCTGCTATATAAGCAAACTTAGAAAGAACATTATCTAGTATTTTAATCAAACTATTTTTAAATTAGGCATATCTACAGTAAAACACACAGCTCTGATTTGTATTGTTTAGGAGACCAAAGTATATGACTTTTGTAATTAGTATTCTGCTTCGTATTTATTACAGCTTCATTACACCAGGACATTTCCTTGTGCTCTTCCCAGCCAATTTTCTACTTATTATGGAGACAATAATTTGTCTAATTTCTGTTAGGCCCACTCTGCAGTTTGTGTAAATGAACTTGTGTATTCCATTGTGCCTGGCTCCCACTAATCAGCAAAAGTTCTTAGAAAGATATATACAAGAATTGCCTCTTTCTTTGTTATTACTGGTTATTTTTCTGAAGCATACATACACCACAAGTTTTTAAAATGAGTT